ATGTATGTATGTATGTATGTATGTATGTATGTATGTATGTATATACATGTGTATGAATATGGATTATCTACATAAAAAGGCGCAGGAGTAGGGATGTGCGATTAATTAATTAATCGAACAAGCTAATTAATCGAAGCCCAATTAATCAAAGAGTAATCATTTTCATTAATTCATCATTTTTGATTAATTTCCCGATTGATTGCGTTTCGATTAATCAGGTTCTAATTAATTTCATTAATCACAAAACTAATTGATCATAACCTGATTAGATCTGATTTTGTTTTATTAAAAAAAAAATATTATACATATTATGATATAAAGAAAATTTTCAGTTGCTTTGAAAGCAAACTTGAAGGAAATGGACAAAGTTACTCAGATTTCAATTATTATTTTTTAAATAAACAGTATTTGCATATAAACTGATTAGTAAAAATATTTGATTAATCTGGATTATGATTAATCAAAACATTAATTGACCGATTAATTTCGCATTATTACGCCGGAGTGAACATGTTTGGTAAACCCGTATTTACTATCCAACTACGGCATATTCTTATTGCCACAGATGTAGGAGTTTGTTCATAAGTAAATACATATGTATAGTATCAACGTGACTGCTCATCAAAAGAATGTGCGATATATTTAGAAAACAAGTGTACATATTGTGGCATATACCCTATCGGTCGATTTACTTCATCTGTCTCGAGTGTGACAAAAAATGTATAAAAAAAAACTATCGTGAACGCATAAAAATCTTCTGTAGAGTTTTATGTACATACCTATGTATGTATGTATACTAATAATCGAGGCATTTCATCATTTTATGAGTAAGTACATATAAACACTCATAAACTTTTGACACTAGCATGCTTAACCAAGATTATTCGATGTGTGGAGATAGCACCAAACAGTCTAGCTTAACGGTTGATCAACTGAAGAGCACCTTCAAGATATGCAGAAACACTTACAAGTGCTTTGCAATGGGGAATCTTATGCTGCGTACTACTTCTAGCAAATCCTCTCTAGCCAGCATGTAAAGTTGCAGCTTGTGGTGCTAAAGTAAAATAGTAAATTGCGAATGTGTGTTTATGAACAGATGCACGCACATAGCACATACATATTTGTACATTAGGGTGGTCCTTAAAAATAACATCTTCTACATATAAAATAAAGGCGTACACGAAATTCCAAAATTTTAAAACAAATTCTTAGGGGTTACTACCAGAGCTCGAAACTTTTTCTTTTAATCACAAACATTTGAAAATTTTTTTTGAATTTTTTAAATTTATTCATGTACATTCAAATTTTGGCCAAACGTATGGGTCGCTTTTTTTACATTTTCCGTTATTTCCTTGCATTTACAGTGGGATCTTAAAGTATTCTATATCGATATTCTTGTATAGAGGAAAATTAGTTTCTACCGAAGTCCATTGATCTCAAGTACCACGTTCTAGTACTTGCCCCTAGATCTCAGTTCTTATCACCCTAATGTCAGTAAATTAAAACACCAAAGGTCATTAAACTTTTGCTGAGAAAGTATTTTGATTATTCCAGTATGTAAAACTATTTAAAAAATTTGTTTTTAATGCCGAACGTAGTAAGCACCGTAAAATCTAAAAAGGCAACTCTTAGCTTCGTGCATAAAAAAAATTTATTTTTCGAAGTTGCTTTGCAAAAAAACTTTAGACTCAGAGATGTACGGCGAATACATATGCGTCGTTTAGTGTTTTCCAGAAGTGCTGTTATATGAAAATAGGTGTGGTTATTGACCGATTTCGCCCATTTTCAGTACCAACAGCACTTGTCCTAGTAACAACCTTTTTGTTGTTTTTTTTTTTGTTATCCTAGTCAAGTACTATCGATCTGTGTTGGTCGCTTCCGCGTTAGATTCCATGGCCCTAAAATTGTTGCACAGCATTATCGGCTATTTAAGGTCGTTTTAATTTTTCTCTTTTCCACACCCTAGTTTTAATGTACACCAATACTTGTATAAAATTATAAGTAAAACTTTAAACCAATGGCAGTTTAACCATTCAACAATCATTGCTTAATTCGCCACTTTGACTTATTAGTCAATGAACAGTTCGTAACGCAATCACCAATGTTTATCGTTTTTTATAAGCATTCTGCACATCCATCTTAACCGCTGGTGCATTTTTGTCACACACGTATGCATGTATGTATGTGTGTATGTTCATTGACATAAAGATAAAACGTAGGCGCCAATTTGCGACATTAAGCTTCTTCTTTTACAGCATTTGACCTATTGTTTATTAGCATTTTATATCGGTTATATAGCAAGTATCTACATATGTACATATATGTATATGTATGTATTAGAATACATACTCACCTTCGCTATGAACACTAAGCAGAATAGCGTCGCGAGCGCATAAGCCGGCAGCTGTCGCCCCATTTTGTTTTTGTTTTACTGTGTTTTGGTTTAGTTGAGATTTTGTTGTTTTCTATTCCCCTTAGCCGTCACTTAACTTTTAGCTGTATTTCTCCGACATGCACATATGTATACCCGACTGTGAGGCGGAAGGAAACCACCGCACCGCTTAAAGAATTATCTGAAATGAAAAATAACATTTTTTTATGAAATAACATTTATATATAATATTCTTAAAAAGGCGGGTGAGATAAGAGATTAATCACATTTTCACGAATTTAGCTTCCTAAATGAAAGAGTTTCAGAGCAAAATGCTGTAGGGGTCCGATCTTTGCTGGTTCCGATACATAAGCAATACGTTATAAAAAGGGGCGGGGCTTGCTTACCAAATATCCAGTACGGGGCTATTTTTCGTTCAACAGGCAGACAAACATACGGAAAGAGAGAGACCGATAGGGACATCTCGTCCACCCGATCTCTTCTTCTTCTTGTACTTGCAAACATCGGACAAAGATATACATACTGTGCACTCGCGGAATAAAGATGGCTTTAGTAAGTTAGTTTATCTATGCACCAGAATCCAGTTTTTATTATTCTTATATCTGAATACTGGAAAAGAAAAACCGAACAAAAATTTTTCACTGTTGCATTTGTTGTAGCAGCTTACAGCAGGTGCATATGGTCCTGTATTTTCATATTTCGATGAATTTGCAAATTCACAACAATAAAATGCAAACTGTTGCCAAGGTATGTAGTTAGCATAAAATTTTAAAATGCACCGAAAAATGCAAATGCCGTACCCTATGCACCGGATTGTGATTAACCTTAGCGAATGGACTACAAGCTGCCTTCATTCTCATCTAACGGCAGGCTTAGGAATAGGGCAGATCCGATGTGAAGAGATGATTAGTTTCGGCGAAGCATCTTATTCAAATTAGACTGAACAGTTTAACTTGCTACAATATCCAGAATTGAGTTCCGTCAAAGTATCTCTGGCCTCACGGACCAACTCGAACACTTCGTCTGTGATATGTAGCGTATTCATGGGTTCAAGAGTTGATGAAGGCGTTGATTGATTCTCGATGAATAGCCTGTCTAAGTATATGTACTATACGAGTATTTTTATAGTCGATCTTGTTCTACGGATGGTGTATTCTCATTCCAAAGGCAGTCTTCTTGCTCGAGTTTTCCCCATTCTTTCTTTTAGCGATAAAATCTTGTTAAGATCGGTGAACCACATTAACAGACCTATTCTGCTTATTACAGAACATTTTGTTACCGGGAAGTTTTATTATCAAATAATTACACCAATTCTTGCAACCGCTATTCTAGGTACCTTGGTAACATTTTAATTTATTCAGATATTGAGCTATGAAGTTTTGCTTGAAATTCTGGTGTTGCTTATGAGTTGGTAACAACATTTACTGGTCACGAGAGCGCGCAGAATAGGAAAACGGTTTAAAGAGTGACAGAAACTTTATTTAGCGGTAACATAATTTTTGTTACCAACGTAGAATAGGCCTGGTAGTGTGAATTTTTCACTCAGTTTTACTTGTCATCCAAAATACTTCGAACTTGCTCGTATTTTGCCTAATTGATTTCTAAATTAAGGCTATATCTATTTTTAACCGTCATATTGTTATTTTTATAGATTTTAGAAATAAAACCGGTTTGTCCGGTTTTTGCTTAATTTGAATAACTCTAACCTGGGCTTGGAAGAAAGCGAATAATCGCACACCCTAGTTTTCACGATAAGCGGTGTTCGCGTAAGGTTGTGTTTACGTAATTGCGAGTGCACTTTAATACCATTTCATATTCATCAAAGGTATAGAAAGGTATATTATTACGTCATGGAATGGAGCATGCGGTCGAAACGACCTTTATCTCTCTATAGTGTAAATATCGGTATCGTTTGCGATATACATGTACATGTAGGTATCTGTCAAACTTTAACGATATATTTATTGACAATGTTATCGATATATTTATAGATATTTACATCGACAGTTGTATTATCAAAATTGAATAATCTTTACCTTACTGAAATCACAAATTTTTCTCATCAATAACTGTTTCCGATAAGGGAGCTCAGAGAAATTCGGCTAACCACATAAATTTGCCAGTAATTCTTTCTTGACAAAATATTTATAACTATTTTACTAACATGACAAGCATTTTCCTCCCCTCCTTTGAGCCCTGAGGCTATTTAGCATATGTTTTTGACTATTGAATTATAAATAATTCATTAACTAATCCATCAGTCATTTATATTAAGACAAAAAATTATTTAATTTTTGAAATTTTACACATACATACATATATTCATGCACATATGTACAAACATACTACATTGCAAAGACCTTTCTTAGTTTAAACCGCGATTTGCGGTTTGGCATTCACATTGCTAAGACATTGAAAAATTTACCGTTGCACAAATCAATGCGCGCTGTAGCGACAAAGTGAGAGCACTATGAACCACTTTCTATTTTCACTACAAAAGCAACAAATATGCAATGAATTCGACGACCGGCAACAACATAAAACGAAAGGCAAGCGACTGAATTATAAAAAAAAAAAAACAAATAACAAAAAATGAACTAAGCAATTTGGTTTGTAAGCAATTGATAATACAGATGCAGATATACAAACAAACAAGAGTGCTGCCCCTAGTACAGCTGCTGATGAGCACAAGAATGACTGTGATGCGTTTCAACAATGTGACAGTTAAGACGGCAGAAGAAAAATTATTTAGTTAGAGCTGCAAAACATTCAAATTAACACCAACGCAAATGAGATATGTAAGTAGTTCAAATACCGAATGACNCATTCAAATTAACATTAACGCAAATGAGATATGTAAGTAGTTCAAATACCGAATGACAGGTGTTCGNAAGCAATTGATAATACAGATGCAGATATACAAACAAACAAGAGTGCTGCCCCTAGTACAGCTGCTGATGAGCACAAGAATGACTGTGATGCGTTTCAACAATGTGACAGTTAAGACGGCAGAAGAAAAATTATTTAGTTAGAGCTGCAAAACATTCAAATTAACACCAACGCAAATGAGATATGTAAGTAGTTCAAATACCGAATGACAGGTGTTCGTTTAAGTTTCGCAAGTACATATGTATTTATCTTAGGTTGAGTTTTATGTTTGTTAGAGTACAACTCCACAACAAGATTTTCATAAAATTCTTGAAGTTAGCTTATTTTTTTTTAATTTTCCTATAAGCTGCTTTGAAGCAGGCGTAGTTAGATCTTTTTTAATAAATCATCGAACCTAATTCATTAGATCTATGACAAATCTACATGTTTTTAAAAAAAAAAGATAAGCGAAAGCTATTCACTGTAACGACCTGTACCCTAAGTCCTCTCTTTATATTCATTTGTAGTGTGAACTTCACATATACTTCGTATGGAAGAAAATGACTGGCACCGTCAACAAAAAAAAAGATGTCAAAAATCAACAGTAAGCCCTAGCTGTTTCAAACTTGGACTTTGTGACACTAAAGTTTAATGGGCTTATAACTGCATACTCAAAATCTTTCTAAGAAATCTAATTAAAAAGCTCGCAATTTACCAGACGCCATACTAGATCCGCCATTTTCAATTTTGCAATTCTGACAGCGGATTAGTAATTAGAGTCCCCGAAAACCTCTTAGTAAGAAATTTCGAAACCTTTTTTCAAAGCTTCGAATTTTGGCCGCACTGTGCACCGTCAAGAGGCTGAAAAATCGAAAAGAAGATTTAAAATAAAAAAATTCTTGGCTTTCACCTCTAAAACGCATCTGAAAAAGCTTGCTGTAGTCGGTATTTTAATCCCTTAGGATTGTTCTATATCGAAAAAAAATATACCCCAATTTTTTTTATTTTGAAATCAAAAAAAAAAAAACAATTAAAGAGTGCTCAAAGCGCTCAAAGTTTTGCATGTATTTTTATATGGGGAAAAAGCAACTTTTCGTAGAAATGGTATAGAATTCTTGAAAATAAATATTTTTCGATCGGCAAAATCTGTTTCTCTTCAGGAGATTCCCAATAATAATAACCAATTGTTTATTTAACCATTTGTTCATGATAACTATATTTTATAGGTCCGCCAAAATCTCCAGAAAATGCAATGGGGGAACAAATAAAAAAATTTTAGTTTTCCGGTAGAAAAATATTGATTTCCAAGAATTCTGTACCATTTCTACGAAAAATTGTTTTTCTCCGATGTAAAATACATGGCAAACTTTGAGCGCTTTGAGAACTCTCTAAATTTTTTTGATTTCAAAATAAAAAAATTGGGATTTTTTTCGGTATAGACGGCACTAAAATGCCGAAGGTAAATATGTATATCCGACTATTAATACGAATGATAGCGCTTGGCTCAGAGCAACAATGCCCCTTGAAATATTGAACGAGTTGAAATAAAGCCAGAAAAGTGATGGATGTTTGGATGGCAATTACCGTCTCAATTCCAGTGTCTAAAATTTTATATTATTTAAAATGTACCCGTATATGCATCGCAAATAAATTTTTTTTCTTCCAAACTTTTGAATGGTTTTCTAACTGAACTTATTAAATATGAGCTTCTACTAAAATTATTGACCACTAAATTTGTGAAGTAGGCCAGCACTGAGACAGGGTACCGAAAATATTTTTTTTTCTCAGCCACCTCATACGCGGTATTACGTATACGTACGGTGACCATCCGTCCTGTATTATACGGGACAGTCCTCTTTTTCGGTTCGGCTATTTTTCTTTTGTTTATTTAATTTTTATTATTTTTTTTTAAGTAAGCTCTTTTAATAACAAAAACCATATAAATCGAAATGTCCGACTTTGTGCAAAAACTATGGGAATTAATTCTGTAAATTTTCACCAAAATTTCAAACTTTTTAATCAGAACCTTTAGAAAAAAATTTGGTTGCTGTTTTGCAGCTCATTAAAATTTAGTATAATAAAGTGCAAGTGCAACGTGCTGCTCATTTTCTTCCCTATCAACAAATTGTCGAGCATACTAACCTTGCATGAAAAAATACATACATCTAAGATCATTAAAGAAAGTTTTATGGTCTGAGTATGCATACTTCGCATAACTTCGCACAACTTCGCATAAACTTCAAACTGTAGTTTCGTATGTACTTTGTATGTATTCCATTACCCAGAAATTAGCAGAACTTTTAAAAACTTAGCGATCTGTTGAGTTTAAATTTTGCTTCACATTTTCTTGAGTTACACTTCTATAGCACTGGTACAAATGGTTGTGCGAAGTTATGCGAAGTATGCATAATCAGACCTTTAAGATCTGTTATGGAAAAAATTAGCAAAATTAGAACAAATTGCCATTGTTCTTTTTCAATGACTCTTAAATGACAAAGACCTTTTTATAATATACTACCTTCAGAGCCAAAATTTTGTAGCTGCTTATTTTTATCGTAAGAAAAAAACTCACAAATGCGTCACATACTATAATATTTTTATCGTAAAAAACTCACAAACGCGTCATATACATATTTACATGAGGTGTCGGTATACCACCAGATCCACTCAATGCAAAAATTTGTTTCACGTAAATTTTCCCTTTTTAATAACACGAAATTTTTCCAAAGCGCGTGTAAATGAGACTAAATATCCGTTAGTGAAAAAAAAACGACTGCAAAAATATGATACCAGACTGCACGGTGTCACTTTTTGGTACACACACTTGAATTGTAAAAGTCAAGTTAGTATAAATTTTTTTGTCCACTTTAAAAACAAAAACAAACAAAGATGCCCCGTTTTTAAAACGTTCAGGTCTTACATTCAAGAATTAAATAAGGAAGGGGCTGTAGCTATCGGTCTTGGTGTTGTATATACACCATTCGAAAGACATACAGTTTTACACCGCCTGCAAATGTTCAATGATTTTAATGTGCTGCGTTTTTATAGCAGAAAAACATTTGACAATACATAGTTGTACACCGAACCCACTAAAAACCGACTCGAAGTCTTAAAAAAAAAATTAGTAGGTACTACATGTACCTACTAGGGTGAATAACTCGGTGTTTTCTAAACCGGTTTCCATTTTTTTTTTTGATATCTGTACTGTAGGCGGTTTTTTGAAGTCTTCATTTTTCGAATATCAAATAAACCGTTTTTTTCATTTCATACAAATCTTGATCTCTCAATAAAAGTTTTGAGTTTTTCGAAGTTCTCAAGGCCGTTTCCAGTTATCTTACGCTATTTAGGGAAGGACAGTCTATCATATTTGATTCCAATAAATGAATATTTGGTGCTTAAATGTTTTCTACGTATTTTACCGAGCTGCTCCTCCAATTCGAGTTGAGCTTCTTGATATTGTGACACAAGTGGAATGGGTTTTGGAAAAAAGACGCAACTAAATATTCACTCACTTTTGCGAATCGGTGCAAAATTTCACGTTTTAATAGTGTGTAGTAGTGAGGTGTAATCACCTCTATGCTGTTTTGTTGGTTTTATGCTGCATACTTATTATATTTTATTTTCACACGTTATTTAGATGATTACATTTTTTAATGCATATTCTATAATTAATTTCTAAAACAATTTATTAATATTAATTTATCTCCGAATACACGTGACACACGGCACTCTAGATTAGCACGTTTCTTTCATATTTATTTATGTATTAATACACGTATGTATGTATATAAGTATATAGCATCAGCTCATCCGCTACGTGCGTGCAACTTGCAACGACAACGACGACACAATGCCAATGCTAACCGTCAAGAAATGACTAACTGGACACGCACAGTTAGTTACGGCCACAACACTACCCACTGACCGACACCGAACCAATAATAAACCAAAGATGCTTCGTATCCAAAGAAAATAAAGCATAAATAAAAAGTAACTTCTTCAGTAAATGTGTAGCAAATGCAGATGCGCCACTGTTAAATGATGGATGCTATACTTTTATACATATGTACATATTCGTATAAACATACATACACACAAGCTGAAATATTTGCATACGCACATACATACATATGTACATAAATATGTAAAGCGCATAAAGAAATAAAAGAAGTTATGCATAGGTAAATATGTATAGTAGAAAAAGACCAAAAGAGAAATGTAATTCAGAGAAGATAAAGAATATGCCGCAAACTTGTTTGAATCAGAGCCATATATTACACTGCAATAGCGTGGTAGATAAAAGATATACAAACATACATGACTAATAATGTATGATACTCGTATTTATTGTAAATGTAAAAATGTAAAATTTTATATTACAATGTACACACATACATATCTACACAACATACATATGTAGCATTAAATGTGCACCATGAGTGAGAGGAATGTCACTTTCCACTTGCGAAAATGTGTGAGATGCGTCGCATCTGTTACTTACGAACAAACAGCTAGCGTCTTAGCCATTCATTCAGTGGTGTACGCGACTCCACTCCACTCCACTCCACTCCACTCCATTCCACTCCGCGTCAGTGGTTGACTTGCCTACATGGCGTATGTGTAACCTGTTATGAGCGTGCACAATATGCTGTTATGCTAGTGCTGTTTTATTGTTGCTATTGTTTTTTTTTTGTTGCTAGCGTCTATGCTTTTGTCAACGAAATAACTAAAGAAAGTCGTATAAATATACGCGTATTAAAAAGCAAGCTAATACGAGCTAATTCACCTAGCTACATACATACATACATACATACAGGCTTTCGGCCGGTGCACCATTTTTAAATAAATTTTTTTTATATATATGTTTTGTTATTATTTTACTAAGCTTTTAATAACGAAAGCTGCTGCTTAAGCATTCACCTTTTGTTTTTTATTTGTATTTAATTTCAAAGGAAATTTAGTTACCGCGTCAGTTTGGTGGTCAGCTCCGTCGTTTGTATGTATGTACGTATGTTGGTATAATTACAAGTACGTATTTATGTATGTACATATTTTTATAGCAACAGCAATGACCGACCGGCATGCATTAATTTCAACAAGTAACATTTTGAGTGAGTTTAGGTTTATTTTTATTTGAAGCAATTTAATGTAGTTTTATATGTTTGTTGTCACCATAAAGCCACTTAAAAAAAAAGTGTAATTAAATACCTAGTGAACTGAATAAAAAGCTATGTGTTATTTAGAACAAGTTTGTAGAAACAAAGAATGAAATTAAATTAAAATGAGCCAAATTGAAATTGGTTACTTGAATAGTTTTTGCTGGAGCGAATAGTAAAATTTCATTTCGTTTGATTTCAACACTGTATACACTGAGAGAAAAATCAACCAAATATTGGTTAATATTACCAAATTCAAACTTGAAAAGGAATCAACGTGACTTTTGGTTGTTATTAACAATGCCTTGGTTGATATTTTCAACAATGATTTGGTAATATTAACCACAATTTTGTTTACATTAACCAAACTTTAGGTGGTTGATTTTTTCGTTTGAATACATTGATGTTCTGCACTTCACAGATGCTTTTTCATAATTCGGAGATACAAAACAAAAATTTTTATTATCATTTTAACATGTTGCCTCTGGCGGAATTAGCAGCAAGCTTCTCTACACACTCAGCCACAGCCGCTTTATAAATGTGTTTGCAAATGTTAAACTTGAATCAATTTTCTTCGTCCTTTGATTTGGCTCCGCACTTCACAGAGGCTTTTTCATAATTAAGAAATATTAAAAACAGAAAAAAATAAAAAGAATGTATCGCGATTACAGCATTCGTACTGCTGGAAGCCAACAAATAACAGCAAGCACCTCAGCCACTGCCATACATACGAATTTGTTCTCAAATGCTCAGCTTGAATCACATTTCTTACAATCGACTTATTGACCACGAAAACATCAAACCATAACTTGGTTGAAAAAACCATTGTGCTTTTGGCTCAGTGTAACACTTGAATTTCGCTATAAGGAATCCGTATCGTATTTAGTATCCTACTCGTATCTGCGTTCGCTCTGCCAATTGTATTGTAAGCTTAGAGGTTTAGGTAAACACCAAATGCTTTTAAATGTATGCACCAAAGTTTAACTTTACACTATCAAACCCAAAAAAAATGTTTGGCTAATGGTATGAGGTCGTAAGTTTACTAGAAAATACGTTTCTCTGGTTAGTTTCTATGTAGTATGTACTTATGGATTTTTCTTGTCAGAAATTCGAGTGCTAAATAATTTCCGGGTACAACTTAAGCAGTAGCAATGTTTGCTTTGATGCGTCTTTACGTATACGTATATAAAGTCGGTGTCAAATGTAAGTATACACCTTGTTCTAATATAAAGTTCACAATTATTTTCATGAAAAAATTTTTTTCATTAATTATTTATGAAAATATAGTTCATTCTATAACATAAACCATGAAAATCAAAGTTTCACATTTTATATAAAGTTCACAAAAATTTTCATCAAATTTCAAAATTTTCATTCACAAATTCTAGAAAATTTTCGAGTATGCAGTTTTGTAGCCCGTACAATTTTTGTAAAACAAATTGCAAGTTTCAAGTCGCTAGAAATTACCGTTGACTTTGTAGATTTTTTTGTGTGGAGGGTGTTGGGCATTTTCTTCCATATAAAAATAGATTTTGACAACGCGTTATATGGAAGAAAACGCGCGACACCCTCCATAAAACAATTAAATAAAATAAACGATAATTTCTAGCGACTTGAAACTTGCACTTTGTTTTACTAAAATTGAATTTTGAAATTTTTATAAAAATTGTTTGACATTTGGGATCTTTATATAAAGTATGAAACTTTGATTTGTATGGTTTATGTTATAGAATGAACTTTGTATATTATCATAAATAATTAATGAAAAAATTTGTTTATAAAAATAATTGCGAATTTTATGTTACAGCGAGGTGTACACTTACATTTGACACCGACCGTACGTATGTTTTGCAAAACACGTGAGTACTCAGAACCAGTTCCTTAGTCGCGACATGGTCAAATGATAACTAAATAGCGCAAGGCCCATACATACATATGTATGTATGTATGTAGACACTTGAAGAGGCCACCAAGGCACCAGCTGATGGCGCTGTTGTCACCACTACTATCGCTGTTAGGCAAGTGTGCTATTAACCTACTGAAATCGTAAACAGTACAAACAAGTCGACTAGCCACTGAGTAGTGTGACTGACTGACCACATTACAGTTTGCGTCTGTATACATATGTATGTACATATATTCCTAACACTTCATCATTGCAATGTTGATAATGCGTATAATTATACTTAGCATTGTGGACGGTGAATAGTTTAGATATTAATACTATTTTAATAAATGCGCTAGTCATATATATCATCATATATATACGGGTCATTCCATCTCAAAGCACCCAGGCCGAGGGAAAGTGAATTTAAGTTTGTGATAAAACTCACAGGGATTGTTCCATGTTCTGTGTCTCCTAAACGTATTTTTTCTTTTTGCTCAGAAATTCGAACGTTTCGAATAATGAATTTTTATTTTTATTTGGGTACGAACGCTTCTTTTTTCGTCTCTTAATAGCAACTTTTGAGGATGGTTATGACAGCCGCAAAAAAGCAAGGATTTTAAAGCTTTTTTTCAAGTTACATATATTGATGCACTGAATCGATCTAGTGAACTAAACATCAGTAATTGTTTATCAATAATTAGTTATTGCTAATAAACAACATTTTTTTTTTCAAGTTGCTTTTTTTCAAATTGCCACATCTTTTTTTCTCAAGCTTTTTTGTCTATTAGGGAATAGTATAAACTATTTTCAGTACGAGTATCAATATGCTGAAATTCGTCGATTTCGAGTTATGATTTTTTTTTCCTGAAAATGCGCTTATATGATGCTATCAGATTAATTAATTACTAGTATCGCCCCGTTGTCGAAATTCGACCACTTCACTTTTTTCACACACTTTTTCATTTTGCCTGGGAAGTTTTTTAGGTCCATCTACACCTGTTTGCCTTGCCCCGTTCAACGCATTTCTTGGAATCAAGACTAATCGGTAAATTTCGATTTTTATTTTTCCCATTATTTTAGATTTTTATGTTTTTGCGATTATTTTTAACCGTTATGATAAATGTTTATGATCTACAAAATTAAATCTGGGGCTAACGGCTATAACCAGGGCCGAAAAGTTTAAGCTTTTGCTTGGAATTGCTTATTTCAATGTATACAGCTAAATACGGACCTTTAAAAAAACGGCCAAGAAATAAATTGCTATTATTTCGTGTGTGTAAATAGTAGTGCCCAAGGAGTTTTGATACCTGATATTTTACAGCCCGCTGTCTCACTTTTTCCTTACGAAATATTGGAATGGGCATATATTTGTGTTGATAACAAGGGTGCCTTGAACTCTTCGCAAAAAAACTTTAGCAAACCATAGTAAAAAGCGTAACAAAATTCTTCAGAACTTCGCACTGCTTAAGAAAATTTGGCTCAATAAATTTTTCTTGCACATTTCTTTTGGCGTTTTTTATTTGTCTAACTAAAGAAATGTTTACAAATAATAATATAAAAACTGATTTGGTTTTTATTCAACCGTAACTTCAGTTGCATTTCTGTTTGAATACAAATATTTAAAGCCAATGGTTTATCTCAATTTATCTCAAATGGAGAATAACGAATATTTAAAATAATTAAAATGCCCAACGCAGATCTCTATTAATTAAGAATATCAAGCAGCACTTTATTGTCCNTGGTTTTTATTCAACCGTAACTTCAGTTGCATTTCTGCTTGAAT